CTCACACGGCTCATAAATTCCTTGGGCAGCTTTTGAAAGCTCTTAACAAGTTGTCATATCTGACAGTGGCTAGGTCATGTCCTCCTTGGTCTTAGGACCCGACACATTAGAAAATGTACAAACAGTGTTTCTAGAGAGAGGACTTTAGGTAACTCATGAACCCAGGCTCTCATTCTTTGTGGATTCTTTTAAAAATGGATTCTTGCATTTTAGCAGAAGTGGTAAATGAGTAACGGACAGAAGCTGGAAAAGGACTGGGGACATAGCTCAGTGGCACAAGCACCTGCCTAGTAAGTACAAGGTCCTGAGTTTGATTCCTGGTACAAAAAAAAAAAAAAAGAAGCTGGGAAAATATACACTAGCTAGATACTGGTATCAGGAAAAATTTTCATCCAATATTTCAGGTCTTCATTTATTTCAAAAAATTCCTTGGATAGAAGAACGTCCTAGAATCTGTTAGAAGGTTGATGTCAGAACAGGAAATCCGTCCAGGGGCCACTGAGTATGAGTGAAAGCCACCTGCTGTCTAGATTTGCTACAGATCTAACAGGATTTGGAGTATAACTTAAACTATAACACAAATTTAACTGAATTTGTGTTTTATACAGTCACCTTAGTAGTAAAACAAAGACTGATTCCCTACAAATCATCTTTAAAAATTATGTAATATGTTATAAAAAGAGAGGGCTTTGAATAGGTTGGCCTTGAATCTGAATGTTGGCTCTGTTTGCTAGCTGTGTGTCCTTAACTATATTACCCAGTCTTTCTACAACTGGTTCTCTTTCATCATGGTGCAATCCACAAGCAGTTAAAAAAGGATTAGAATACAGCTTTGTTCAACAGAAGTACCTGCATTATTGTTACTCAAGTTGCAAATTAAATCACAGGACCTTAAGTTAGACAAATTTATTTTCAGAGGGGGGGCTACAGCAAAGTTCATTTAAGATTCTCTCCCGGCAGTCACTGGCAAATAAACCTGAGTCCTAGGAAAATTTATTTTATTACATAAATTTTCTTGCTTCAAGAGAGATAATTAAAGATGATGGTAGAACTCTGTTTACCGCCAATACATTTAGTAATTATGCGTATTTAATAAAAAGCAATGATAAATGGCTTTATAATACTTAATAAACAGGCAATCTCTTTTCAGATATATGCAAAAGCAATTCTGATATAGACTTTTCTCTATGTATCAAGACTGGTATGAAAATTTTTTCCTAACCACCCAGCTGCTACAATGTTAAATAAATTAATTTTAATCTTAAATCAGAGATGTAATAGAGGAACGGGTGATTTAATATGCAATCTCATTACATTTGACAGGCTTATTTATAAATGATTTGCCCCACATTTTGACAAGCATAGTTAATATGTTAATTAGCTCTTAAAAAGGTGATGAAAGGAGAGAGTGGCATGCTATCGTTCCTTGCATACAGTGTTGGGGCGCACTATATTTGATACCTAAAAGCACCAGGATGTTGGGATAATCACTTGCTAGCTACGGATAACTTAGTCATCTGATATTTAAAAGTAATCCCTTAAAACAACTCCAAGCAACTTCAGATTTAGGAAACAAAGGCAGCTCTAAACATATTTACAAGCTTCTGTTAGGAATACGAAGCTTTTTTAGATCAATGACCTCAACCTCTGCAGCTAGAGTGGCACTCCCTGGCAAGAGCAGAGTTGCACAAAGAAGCTGTGTTTACATGTGTGTTTCTCCCAGTGCGGTTTTCAGAACCCGTCAAGCTGTGGTGGTTTAGGAGCTTAGCAATAATTTCCAATGCTCTCACTTTCAGAGAGTTTTAAAATCCAAGCATTAAGAGAAGTTATACAAGAGGCAATGCTGATTCCTCTGCTTAGACTCTTCTTTATGGAGGGAGACAAAGATTTCAAAAATGAATCTTTCTTGATGATTTCTCAAGTCCCAGGGTATTCACACACACCCAACCTGCTGGAGAAGCAAGAGGAGTGGATCCTAACAGTCCATCTCTGATTTTCATTACTTGCTGACAATGTTAATGCCTCTGTGTCTTCATTAATATTTTCATTGCCTGTGGCTATTTAAACAGAAAGCTGGCAAACGTAACACTGCATAGGGATCATTAGTTTTTAGTTAGTACCCTACTGCTCTCGATGTTAAATGAACTGTAGAAATAGCCTAAAACTACTGCCACCTGCCTCCCTGCTATTGTCCATGGGTTAATAATATTTACACTTCTCTTTGGTGCAGTTGAATCATGATTTGATTATAGCCCCATTTCTAGGTGTCTGAATATCCAGCATCAGTGTCATTGATTATACAACAATCACTGCCCTGTGAATTTCTCTCTAACTGGAAAAACACATATGTTTTACCTGACTTATAGCATAATAACAAAATGGCTTTTAGAGAATGGCTTGGAATGAAATCAGAATCTGAATGGCAGGCATAGCACAGACATAACTCAGACTTTAGGGCTTAGAAGTAAAGGCAGGGGAAGCTGCTCCAACCTAACACATTTGCTATTGGTTTTGGCAATGAATAATACTGGCATATAGACAAAAGGGCGTTTGGGGTCTACTATTTTCTATCAATTTTCCTGCCTTCCTCTTAAATAACAGACTTCTTACGCTTCCATTATGTCTTCATTCAAAGGGAATTGGCAGGAAATGCCACAGCCATCTTTCGGGAACATGAACATACACACTCATACTCTCTCTCTCTCACACACACACACAAACACACACACACAATTACAGGGAGAGAAAAAACAAACTAGAAAACAAATATATAAGGAAACAGACACATCAGCGAGTCAGAGTCCAGGTAGTTCTTTGTACATTAAAGAGCACCTTTAAAAGTGCACGAAAAATTAGCCTCCAGTGTGTTAAAAACAGTTTCTCCTAATTATGAGCATAGGGTCCTAACTGAACTACCAAGCAACTAAGACAAAACTGGCTCCAAGGCACACATGCTTCCAAACTAGGCTATACTGGCAGAGTTCTTAACTGAACTCAGTGAAAGACAACCTAGGATTTCCATAACAAAAAAATGGAGAAAGACAGACATTATGAAGTGCATGAAGAAGGTAATGTCCTAACGTCTGCACTGGCCTTTATTTACAATATTTTCCTCCACTGCAACCACTGATCCAAAAATCTCTTATGCCCAAGCACCTGATCCAAACACAGTAAGCCCCCGATTGACAAATGACTTCCATTCCAGGAGAATTGTTCCTAAGTCAGATTCATTCTTAAGCACACAAAATGAGTCTTGACAGTAACCCCTGTGAAAGTTCACAGCTTGAATATTCCTTAAGTCAGGGACTTACTGCATCTATTTTGCCCAAGGACCTATTTTGGAGGAAAAACATTTAACTTTGTAAACAACCATTAAAACAAATCAAGAAGTGTTATGAAAATATAGATTAGCTCAGGTGGAGATATAGCTCATCAGCACAGTGCCTGCCTGGCAAGCATGGGGTCATGAGTTCAATTCCGGGTAGCAAAAAAAAAAAAAAGAAAAAAGAAGAAAGAAAGATTAGCTCAGCCACTCAGTGGTAGACTGTCATCCTTATTCTCAGCATTTTACAGTATTTAATCCAGTACCATTGAAGTGATACTTGATTTATTTCTAAAGCATTACAAAATCTATGAGAACCAATTTAAGGATATTTGGTGATCTAGATTCCTTTATTTGTTTTTTTTTTTTTTTTTTTTTTTTTTTTTTGGTTTTTCTCCGGTACCGGGAACCAAACTCACGACCTTGCGCTTGCCAGGCAGGCGCTTTTGCCGCTGAGCTAAATCCCCAGCCCCTTAGATTCCTTTATACCCTTATTGAAAGCTATTAATTTACACCTTACAAAAAAAAAAAAAAAAAAAAAAACCATGTGGACATAAAATGTTGCATATATTTTCAATGGCTTTACAGAGCCTTAAATCCCATTCATAGGAGCACTGCTGGAACCTAAATTAAGAAAATCTCTTTTGTGCCCTATATTCCAAGGAACTTGATTTTTATCTTACCATAAAACTTTTGGACCAAACAGATATAAAAAGAAGCCAGGCCTCACCACAGCCTAATTTACTAATAGCCAAGATTACCAGCGGGAAGGCAATACAGTAAGTTCCCAGCAATAAGATAAACACATGCTAAAGTTTCACTGAGGCCGTAAACATGACATGAACATGTGGCCGAATGATACGGGGCATAATTATTCAGGGGAGATGACCACTAAAATGAAACAGCGAAGTGGATTACTTAGAATACAATTGTGAGTCTAGAAAAAGGACCTCTTATGAATAAAAGCCAGTGGAAAGCGACTAGTAAACCTGTCCTCAGTGCTACAAACAGGATTATTCTCTTATATCATTATTGTATTTAAATCATACTTGATTGGAAGCTTACAGCAGTTTTACCATTAATAATAATTACATGTTAAATATTGCTGGACCTTTGGAACCCATAAGATAGATTTTTTGAACTGTTTAACCACTTCATAAAACTGAGATTCTACTGAAATTAAATATATGAACATTTTTAAAGTAATCATTTTATTTCATTTTGGATCAGTGATATCAAGAGTTTTCAGGGGGGATATTGTGACCCAATTTGGGGCCTAGCAGTTATATCAAAATTTTCAGTCCACTTTTCGAAGCTTTGTTGTGAATTTTAAACATGCGCCCTGCTACTGCCAACTCTAGTGATATTTGGAGATATAGACTTCATTGTTGTGAAATAAAGCCGCAAATCAGGACCCTAAGGGAGACAACCACAGTAACTGACAGGTAGAAAAATCCCTCCGACCCTATCCATCAAGAACCATTCCCTGACACCATCTCCAGGGTCCTCTGATTAGGGAATTCTCCCAGTCATGTTTTTAAAACTCCAGTAGTACTGCCACATACAGAGAACACTCCCACATCATTAATCTTCATTCGCACCATGAGGATGTTTGTCTAAGCATGACCCGGACCAAGCACCACACAGATTAGCTAAGGTAAAAGCTTCTATTTCTCACCACATGTCAAGGCAGGTGGAGTATTCCGTAGAGCCCAGGAGAACATCAGGAGGTCTGTACCACAAGGTAACCACTTCGTTGGAATACGTGTGGCTGGGGACGGACTTTGCTCTGGCAAGACCTGTGGGTTACATGAAATATAAAGAAGTTATATTTCAGCTAAGAACAGAACCAGAGTTTTACGTTTGGGTGTTCACAATCTTAAAAGGTTAAACATTACTGTAATGTAGGATCACGAATGCAATGCCAAGGTTAACATACTGTGGTCACTGTGTTTTGAACACATGCTAATGACCATTAAATTATTTATATTCCCAAATAAAGCGCTGGTGTCATAAATCTAATAAAATATCAGCAGGGTAAACAATTACTTCACAGACTGTTGGCTGTAACAGGAAAGACAAGAAATGTCCTGGATTTTTCAAAGTAGGTTATCTAGAACTCTAGTTCTGAGAGTTAAAAAGTTTTAAATGTTATCAGAAAGGGCCCTTGGTAAACAACTTTCAGAAAAGAGAGATTTATAAAGTTCAGCGGACTTCCATTTACAAGATTCCTCAGTGCCTCTAGCTTTTCTCATGTGGACTGTGAATCTGTAAGAAAATACACTTTTCTCAAGATTATCGCAAAGCTTCTTATAGTTTCAGTGTTTTCTCAAATATTCACTAAACGCTTATTAGAAAAACGCACCTGAAAACCACCTAATAAAGGAAAAGTCAGATAGTCTTGGTATGTATAGGTGAGATTGTATATAATAAAATCTCTTCTAAGAATTTTTGAAAATGATCATAATATTTTAAGTGAAAAAAATGATGTAGTGTGACCACATAAGTATTCATGCATAGAAAAAAGACTAGCCTAAAATATATTTAAATGTCTTTTGTGGTTACCTTTGGAAAATGGGATTATTCTTTTTTTAATTTAGTAAGTTTCCCCCCAAGTTTTGCACAATATATTCTTTTTAAAAATCTATTGATAGTTTTTAACAGAAAAAAATGTAATAATGTTCACGAATGACAAGTGCTATGGCTTGGGTCTGGAGGGCGTTAAATCTTGTGGTGTACCTTTGGGAAGTAGGGTCTCATGGGAGGAACCTAGGGGGACACCTTGGAGGGGACACTGCTTTGACATAGGTCTGTGCTCTCTGTCCTTCCAGGCTGCACTGGGGTGAGTGGCTTCGTGGTACCCCGTGGTCCCTGCAGCGATGTTATGCTTCCCCAGATGCACAAGCAGCGAGACCCACCACCCACAAACCCAAATCTTGGGACCTATGAGCAAAAATGAACTCTCCCTCCTTGTAAAGTATTTTATCCCGGTGATGGAAAGCTGCCTAGCCCAGCAAGTGTACAGTAGTACTGATGTGTTATAAGCACGTAAAACATTTTACAGTAAGCTTACAATCACATACTCATTTTACTGTTTTATCTGAATTTTTATGTAGTATTTAGGAACATGACTTCTCCTTGTTTATTAAATACAGTGTCACATTTTCTGTATTACATGCAAAATTTAAAATTAATAGGACAGCTGGTAAGACCAAAAAATAATAAATTCAACTGTGATTATAGTCATTCACAGTTTCCAAAAATGCGAGCTTTTTTTTCCCTTTTGGTACTGGGAATCAAACTCATGACCTTGCACTTGCCAGGCAGACACTGTGCCACTGAGCTATATCCCTGGCCCAACAGTGTAGGTTTTATAATAATGTGATAGTGTGCTGCAAATAGCCTTGTGCTTATAAACATATTAAAATGCATAGATTACATGTATACAAACATTCATGGTACACAATTTTTCTGCACATGAATAGAATATTTTCAATAACAGATTTCCCTAATAATCTTTTACTTCTTTTCTCTGTAAGGTTTTATCCTACCTCAATTCAGGCAAAACTAAACAGATGAGATAACAGGGATGGGAAAGTGTGTCCACATTTGATAATCTCATCAGAAGGGCTAGTTCCTCATTTGACTCTGCTTCCACACAGAAACCAAAGAGCTAAGCACAAGGCCTGAAATAGGTTGTGACTCATTCCATATGCTGCTGTCAAGTAGGAGGCCAAAAAAACCCATTCAGCCTGGATTCCCTTAGTTTTCCTGAAGCCCTGTTGTCAGGAAGCCAGGCCATAGGGATAAAATCATGAAAAACTATGAGGTTTTCTTTGACAGCTGACATGACCAGCCTAATTATTAAAAAATTGTGGCATTTCCAGTTATAAAGAGAAAACAAGACCTCTAAATACCTTAGAAATGGTGTAAGTCAAAATACTTACATGTAATTTCAGATCAAATATGAGTTTGTTAAATTGGTTAAATATTTTTGGAATATAAACAGTTAAATGCCTACTCTGTATTGTCCTCTTTCTGCCACAGTGAAAGCGTCAAAGAACGCCCTAATTTTATTTAGAGGGGCCACCTAACTTCCCAAAAGAACAGTGAAGATGTGTTTTTATTATCTAACTTTTTAAACTATTAGGACTGAGTTTCTTGAAATGCTTTGCACATGAATGTATCATACAGAGTGAAGAATGTTGTTATATTTTTTAGCTACAGTCTACTGTATCACCTGAGAAAAAAATGCATCCTTTCACGTTCGTATAGCTAGCCAATTAAAGCAATTTTTTGTGGAAAGTTTCTGTATAATGATGAACAAAACGTTTTCACCCTAAAGCTGTTTCTGCTCAGTTAGTAAGATAAATAAGTCCCAAACATTTCAGGGAGGGAGCAAATTATTAAAACAATGGCTCAAAGGGGGAAACAAACAAACAAACATAGACCTACATTTTTTCCAAATATTTTTGGTAAAGATAATGGTATATATTTATACAGTTCATGCATCAAAACACCCTTACTCATGCAAAATTTATTAAACTGTATCCTCCAGCTGAAAGAAAACTGTAGGACAGGATTAATTAGCACAGCATGTGTGAAAGCTTTCTTTCTCTGTTCTTTGTCAGTTGCTATGGTGACACTACAGGAAGAGAACTACACTACCTTTTAAAAAAAGGAAGTTCATGGGTTATTATCAAAACTTCTTACATTAATGTTTAGTTTGAATTAAAAGTCAAAAAGCCATGTGAAATGCTAAGCAGATGAATACAGGTTATTTACATGTTGCTCCCTTTAAAATGCCTTATGTAACAATCACTGTATACAGCTCTAAGGTTTGCCATTTCTACTTAAGGAAAGATCCTAAAGTAGAGGGAGAATCCTGCTACTGAAGCCCTACTGCCAGTGATTCAGGGTTAGGCTCCCCTGAGATAAGCATGGCAGTAACTGAGATTTCTGGGAAAGCTAAAGTTTTAGCCAACTACTTACTTATTAGTGAGAGAATCGCTTTTCTTCTCTGTCAGATAGTCATCTTGTAGGTAACATCTGCGGCCACCCTGGGACCTGGTCCTACCCTCTGGCATGGACAAAGAATACACAACAGGCTAGTGCTTCCAACATCTACTTAGGCAAACCAGCCCTTTGGCATCAAATAATGAGGCCTTACTAGCTTCCCTGGTTGCAGCAGACTTGGTTGACCACTTCTCTTATGTTAAATTCCCTCCCTGTACTACTTCTCTGCTACAGGAATGACCTGGGTGGGCTTCTGGAAGCTCTCTGTTTGCCCATTCGGGGTGTTCTGCTAGGGAAACACACTGAAACCAGTGCTTTCTCCAATGTAAGCCCTCTGTGGGCCAGTGTGGTCGATGTTACGCTTTTAACTGACACACACTGTCAGTTTTGGAAGTGATTTCTTCCAAAATGTTGCCTCTAACTCATACTTATCTTTGAGCTTTGGATCTTGTTGTATTCAGTACCCCGCAAGACACAAGGACCACCATGTCCTCCCAGCACTCAAGACAACCACAGCCAGAAGTAACAGAGGGAATATGCCAGAATAGGAGGAAATGTATTTCACTGGTAAACAGTTTTAGGTGGAAAACAGCCAAAGTTGTTTTAGCTGTACGTAGATATAAAGGAGATTTTATTTCCAAGCACATAAAATTACTGTTTCCAGTGCCATTGTATTCTTTTTCTTTTTGTAGGTGGTAAAATTGGTGAGGAACTTGGTTACCTACTTCTATGGAGAAAACTGTTGAATCTAGGATAAGGATTCAGATGTGATACTGCTTTGTCTAACTAACTGAGAAAGAATTGGCAAAACAGGCTTACTCCTTTCAAATAAAAAGGATTTAATAATGGCAAAAGCTAGATGAACTAGAAGCAGTCAAGTAAACTAACGTGCACAGGACTACTTCAGAGTCCTCTAAGAGAAGGGGCCTCTGAGCTTGACAATGGTTTCATTTTTACATAAGACACCCCCACACCTCCTTCTCAACACACCTCATTCCTCAACTTGAAAAAGAGTGCCTTGCTCTTAATTACAAAGTCAGTATTTCTTTAGGAATGGACCCCAAAAAGATGTGACATACTTGAGTTGTATTTCACTATGGGGCAGTTGGGCTGGTGAAGGACATGAGATCTCTCGACTCCATGAGCAGGTTCTTGAGGTGAGGGCAGAGGAAGACAGATTTCTTTCCCATTCCACCGTTCCTGGGACTGGCCAAGAATTTCTTCTTTGACATAATGCTTTCATAGGGTCTCCTTTCTTTTACAGAATTTATGTGACATACCTTATAAGGTACTAACGCTGTTTGAAGACTTTCCATTGCTGATTTTATAGTGTATCCATAAAGAACTAAGGGGTAGGGGCTGGGGATTTAGCTCAGCGGCAAAGCGCCTGCCTGGCAAGCGCAACGTCGTGAGTTCGGTTCCCGGTACCGGAGAAAAACCAAAAAAAAAAAAAAGAACTAAGGGGTAAAACAGCAAGTAGTTTTGTTTCATTTTGTTTTTTTTTTTCTGGCATTCTCCAGGGTTCTGAGCTACTACACCTACCTCTGCACTTGACACATTTTCCTATCTACTCATATGGCTTTAGTTACTACCTATTGGCTGATGACTTCAAATATATCTTTTGCACCATCTCCCCCTAATGACTGAGACCTCTCAATAAGAAATATCGACATAGGTCTTCCATGATCCTCCATAACTACCTCAACTTAATTTCTCTTATATCCACTTCTCCAGTTTCTATAATTGACCACTATACATCATCAACCATCTGCTTACCAAAGCC